ACTTTATTGCCTTTAATGTTAATTAACAAAAAACAAAACATTTTAATGAGCAATTAGTTTGTTGATTAAAGCTTGTACTTTGAGGCTGGTTTTATTTGTTCCATTGAACTAATTTTTTTGTGGGTACCTTTCCTCTCGATTTTATTACTTAATCTATCAACTTTTGAAAAGTAACTTTTCTACCCACTTTTAGTTTAATAAATGTAATGGAGAAAAAATTACATCTGAGTAGCTAAAAAAAGGGAAATAACTGAGACCACTTAATAATTCCAGATCCTTTTTCGATATTGCCTTCTTAGGATCGTAAGTAACAATGGCCGACTAACATGTCTTTTGGAGATTTGGATTCGAAACATTGATTCTGTTTCGATGCGGTTCTTCCTAAAAGAATGAGCGCTCACTCTTTATTATGGGGTGCACCCGATTTTTTCTTATTGATCAAATAGGCCACTAGTCTTTTAGGCGAGGCTCTTCACTTTACAAGGGGATTGATGATGGACTATTATAGTTAGATTGTGGTTCCGGTTGAGACTTTCCTTCCTTTACGGAACCGAGAATATGATTTCCCTTCATTTATTCAAGACGGGTTGAGGCTTCCTTGACTAAGATGGACCGGCCCAATGGGCCGATTCGTAGGAAACTTTTGGGCCGTCAACAAAATAATTGTAAAGCCCAATGACCGAAGCCCATCACTTGTCCATCTTTTTCTTGGGCCGTTTCATGGCAATCGTCACGCTATATTATCGACATGTCGTCACAGTTTCTGTGCCTATTCCATGTCCCGACAAATTACATATGTACGGATATATGGAAAGTTTACCTCAAGCATAAAAAAGTAACTTTAAGAAATTAACTCTGTCCGAAAGCTTTTACCGTCACTGTCTACATAGAAACGACAATATAAACATATTATATTATTATATATATATATATATATATATTTTTTTTTTTTTTCTTTGTACTTTTTATGAAGCACAGTCGTATCGTATCCAAAGTTCCAAACAAGTGACATGATTGAAATGTCCCTGAAATTGTCTAAATATTAAAGGACAAAATTTATATTTGGATTATTAGATTGATGCATTGGTTTTTTTTCTTTACATGGGGCACCTACTTTTGCAATAGTTTATTCATTTATATTTTATTTTAGTCTCGAAATATTTAAGATATTTTCGTGAAGGTTAGATCTTGTAATAGCCTAAGCTCACCGGTGAATGATATTGTTCGCTTTGGCCTATTACATATCATCATTAGCCTCACGATTTTAAAACGCGTTTACTAAGAAGATGTTTTGCTTCGTTTCTCTCTAACCAATGTGGGATCTCATAATCTACCTCTCTTGAGGAACCAACGTCCTTGGTGCCTGCCTCTGGTACCACATGTAACAGCCTACGAAATGACTCAGATCCATCGCTAGCAGATATTGTTCTCTTTGGGCTTTCCCTTAAGGTTTTGAAACGCGTCTGCTAGGGGAAGGTTTCCACACCCATATAAAGGGTGTTTTGGAGAAAGAAACGAGTGCCAGCGAGGACGCTGGCCCCAAAAAGGGGTAGATTGTGATGTTCCACATTGGTGGGGGAGGAGAACAAAACACCCTTTACAAGAGTGTGAAAAATCTTCCCCTAGCAGACACGTTTTAAAGCCTTGAAAGAAAGTCCAAAAGGGAAAGCCCAAAGAGGATAATAACCGCTAGCGGTGGATCTAGGTCGTTACAGCCTAACCCCATCGCTAACAAATATGTCCGCTTTGGCCCGTTAAGAACCGCGTTTACTAGAAAGAGATTTTCACACTCTTACCAGGAATGCTTCATTAGCTGGAAAGGAGAATAAAACATTTCTTATAAGGGCATGGAAAACACTTCTAGCAAATAGATTTTAAAATTGTGAGATTGACAACGATACGTTACAAACCAAAGTAGAAATTGTGAGACTGACAACAATACGTGACGAGGTAAAGCAGACAATATGTACCGAGATAGAACCCTCCATAAAAAAATTAAAAGGAAAGAAACCCTAATTGATAATTTTGAAGAGATGGGAATTAAAAAGGGAGGAGAAAAACCCTAGAAGGGAAGAAGACAAAGGACAGGGAAAAAACTGAGAAAAAGAAAAGCAAAAAGGAAGGATTGATTTATTGGGTTTAAATTGGGAAGAGATCAATTGGGAAGGGAAGGGCAGAGATTTGTGGGGTTGGCTGTCCTTCACCAAACCTCCCTCCCAATACCCAAATGGCCTTCAATTGAAGGACAATAACCCTACCTTCTCATTTTGTTTTCTATATTGATAAGTCAATTTAAACCCCTCGAGTTTAGGGTTTAGGGTTTAGTCTATATGTGAATCCTAATTTCCTAATCAACATCAACATCTAAGATTACTAAGAACAATATAAAACGGAACAAGTGTTTTTCTTTATCCTACGTATCTTCTTCTTAACTCTTGTGATTTTGTTTTCTATATTGACTCACAAAATCATCTAAAGAGTTAACGTTTAGGGTTTTAGTCAAAATGAATGCCCTCAGTTCATCGTTCAAAATGTATGTTTAGGGTTTAGGGGTTAGGGTTTCCCTTCTGACCGTCCCCAAGGTTTTAAAACGACTAGGGAAAGGTTTCCACACCCTTATAAGGATTTTTCCGTTTCCCTTTGCAGTCAATGTGGGATCTCACATACCACTAAACCTTCATTCACGAGGATCAATTCTATCCTAGATTTGCATAGACTTAAATATTTCAAAAGACACCCATACCAATTAGGGACAAGCAGTCGGAGTATAATTCAACTAATTAAGACATATATTTTCGGTAAAAGAATTCAACAATACCATAAAATTGCACGTTTTGGTGTGACCTAAACAGCCAACACGTCTCGAATAATTTGCATATGTCCTTCAACGTCCCTTGTGAAGGAAGAAGGTGTGCATTATTTGAAGAGAAGGAGGCCCCTTCATTTTGTTCTTCTTTTTTAAAGAATCTAATTCTGTCCTCAAAACCCTTCAAAACAAAGGCATATAGATATTATTCAATCGCTCTTCAAAATGTGAATCGAAATAGCATTGAGTAAATTGAGGAAGAATCTGCTGGCACCCTTCTTCAAGGGATTTGCAACATGAACCACTAACATTATTTGCTTCTTTTTCACTAAGTGTATCATGCCTCTTCAATAATCTATATACTCTATTCATACTTGATTTGATATATTACCGTGCACGTCTTCGTAAAATCTCTCCTAACCACATTATCGTCATATATTTATTGTACATGTAAATCGTTCAATCTCACGGTTTTAAAACGTGTCTGTTCGAGAAAGGTTTCCACATCCTTGTAAGGAATATTTCATTCCCTTCTCCAACCGATGTGGGATTTCACAATCCACCCCCTTGAGGTCCAAGCGTCCTCGCTGGCACACCACCCGATGTCTATCTCTAATACCACTTTAACAGCTCAAATCCACCACAAGTAAATTTTGTCTACTTTGTCCTTTAGCCTCACGATTTTAAAATGCGCATGTTAGGGAAAGATTTTCACACGCTTATAAGAAATGTTTCGTTCCCTTCTCCATCTGATGTGAGACCTCACAGTAGAACTCGATAAGAAAGACGATCGTGTATGAGATTTATTTATCTACCAATGAATGCTCGAATTTATCTGTCTGAAAATTCTTGTATCCAAATTCATTTTTTTCTTTTTGTTCTTCATTTTTTACGTTTTCTTGAGATCGAGCGTTCAAATCCTCAAACCCTACTTATTGTACTTATAACTAAGGTAGGATGCGAGATCGAACATCGTAGATAAAGCCGTGCTTATGAAAACGTTTATAAGTTTAATTAATTTTAAATATAAAGATTAAAAAAATGATTCTCCATTTCTCAAAGGAAAAAAAAAAAAAAGGAAAATGATTACTTGAGTGAAAAATATAGTAGAATTGGTGTTTTGTGTATAATGGGACATTGACTTAACATGTATATATAAATAAAGGACATTGGTAAAGTATTATAAGTGGCTTTCAAGGATGATTGATCAAACATGGAAATCCGTACAATCGCTTTTGATTTGTAATTTCTCATATTTTCCATTTTTTTTTTTTTACCATTCACCCAATTTGAGTACCAAAATGAAATAGATCTTAGCTCGTGACTGTTTTAGTTGTGTCGGTAAAATTTCGGAGTGCTAAACATAAGATGGTGGGTCTCGATGATATCGTCATAAGAGATATCAGATATGTGGTGGAAGTTTCTATTGGACTCTCCCCCTACCTAATAGTTATATACAGTAAATCGTTGTTGTTGTTTTTTGCTCACATTTCCATATAACACTAATTTCATTTTCTCAAATCTTAGCTTTCAAAACTCTCTGCTCCTGTTTTCTAAAACTTTCTTCTTGAATCGAGGTCAAAAACTCGAGTATACGTCGTTTTACTGCAAGAAACTTAAGAACGAACAGGTTTAACTCATGGTGAGAAAGTGAGTGTAAATTGTAGGAAAGAATTGTTAGGGTTAATTTTTTTTTTTTTTTTTTTTTTTGAAGGAAAGAGTTACCTTAAATGTAGGGTACAGTTTTGAAGGAAGGTGGCAGAAACATAGATGGGGTGTTGGAGTGAGGTCAATGTGGTCGGAATAAAATCGTACGATCAGGTAGCCGTTTGACGGCTGAGATCTTATGATGAGATTAAACTTGCACAAGTATCCTTGATGGTGGGTCCAGATGACACTGGTTGGCCATTAATTATCTCCATCAACATGACCTCCAATTTTTAGGGTTTTTTTCTCCCCCAAATCATGCCAATCAAGAATCTCTCGGCTACTAAATGTTTATCGTGGGTAAGTAATTGATACATTCACCTCTTACTAGGAAAAGTTCCTCTCAATGCTCTAACGCCTACCTCAGATATAGATCGAACTGTCTCACGATATTCTGAACCCAGTTTACAACCATGAAATACATACGAGTTTAGGGGATAAAAAAGCCCCGAAAATTTTGAGACAAAAATAAAATAAATCTCAAAATATAAAGGCCCAACTAATCTTAAACGTTATATGATAAGAGAATGGAGCCGTTCGATATGTAAAGTTTATGAATAATAAGAGAGAAAAAGCAAGCAATATGGGCCATAACATGTCTACTCAATAGCTCCATGATTTGATTTGTATCCTCTACCACTCTTGTTCCCTATTCATTTCACCACCAAAATTGAAAGCTTCCCCTCAAAATCAAGCCCAATTCTGAATTGAATCACCAAAAGAAGAAGAAATGTCAATTGTTGAAGGAGGATCTTCCTCAAGTTCTTCACCTCACCCAACCCCAAGTAGATATGAGTCCCAAAAGCGAAGGGATTGGAACACATTTTGCCAATATTTGAAGAATCAAAGGCCCCCAGTTCCTCTTTCGCAGTGCAGCTGCAGCCAAGTGTTGGAGTTTCTTAGATATCTGGACCAATTTGGTAAGACCAAAGTTCATGTTCAAGGGTGCATGTTCTATGGCCACCCTGAGCCGCCTGCCCCGTGCACTTGTCCGCTAAGGCAAGCTTGGGGCAGCTTGGATGCTCTTATTGGGAGACTGAGAGCTGCCTATGAAGAAAATGGTGGCGCCCCACAGAGTAACCCTTTTGCTTCTGCTGCAATTAGGGTTTATCTTAGGGATGTTAGGGAATGTCAAGCTAAAGCAAGAGGGATTCCTTACAAGAAGAAGAAGAAAAAGAAGAATGTTACTTCTTCTGTTCAGAGCAAGGGGGCTGAAGAATCAAGCTCAAGCTCCTCCACCATCCACTTTGTGCCTTGATTTTCATCTTCGAGCTCTCTCTCCTTCTCTCAAAAACATTAATATATGGTAAATTTAAGCTTAACTTTCTTGGATCCTTTCAAAAAATTGGTATTAAAGAAAACAACTAGGGTTAGAATTAGGGTTTCTTTTTTAATTGAATGCAAAACCCATGTACCCGAGTTTAAGTTTTCTCGTCTCTACACTCGTTCCCGTGTCATAAAAAAGTTAGCTCTTTATTTCAACGGAACCTTAACTTTTTAGCTGACGATACTTTTTCATCTTATAAAATCAATTTAATGTTTGATTATACACTTTTGAAACGTGATATTTATACAATTAAATTAACTGATTTGAATGATTAGAATATGTTTTTGAACTATCTAACTACTTGATTATTATGAAATGTAATTTTGCAGGGACCAAAAAATGTGAAGAAATAAGAGAAGTGGACAAGATGAGCGAGTGAATTGATAATCATCCCTGGTTTGGCTATTTTTATTATCCTTTCAAGCTCTATATATATATATATATATATGAATGTATGTATGCATTGTCGAGGGGGATGGAATCTGCACGAAATTCCATTAAAGGCATTAGTCTTTATGATCAGAGAGTTTTCATTTCCCTTTTGCCTTATGAATTTTCAGCTTTTGAAGTCTTTGAGATATCACAAAACTCTAAATCTACGTAACTTGATTCTGCTACTTTTTTCCTTCAATATGTGCTTTGTCCTTCTCTTTCTACCAACTTCAATACTTTTACCGCTACTTCAGGTCGTGAATAATTTTGAAATTTTAATTTTATGTCTAATAAGTTCCGTCTTTCAAACCTAAATGTGACTTTTAATTATGTGTCTAATAAATATATATGCAGCTCTTTTTAGTTCGGCTTATATATAAATAAAATAAAAATGTTGCTGTCTCGTCTCCAATAAAGCTTTCTGGTAAAGAGATTGAGGCCTACGGAAACCAACAAATTGGACTTTGAAGCCTAAAGCATTTTAGGCTTTTCGTTGAAAACGACTCCAAATTAATATACATTAACCCACTATGGTTAATTCAATGAATATATAAATATTTTCTTTAAATAAATAGATTCATAAAAGTTATGAAAATTATTTCAGTATTCAATCTCATATTTATAATAATAATAATAATAATAACAATGAAGGCTTAATATCAAAAAATATATCAACATATAGTGTTCACTCGATTACGTATTAATCAATATTCGATTGATTGGTCTGAGGCTATCGATAAAAAAGATTTGTCTAAGTCACTTCGTTTCTTTTTATTTTTATCCAAGTTTCTTCTCTTTTTGTCTAACTCACTTCCTTTTTTCTTTGTGAGTTTCGAGAATATCCCCATTCATAGGTCCGAGATCCACATCTATAAATTGAAAGGTCCGAATGATCAACTCTGCAATCAGTTGTTAGAATCAATGGGTCTTCAAATCGTTCATTTGAAAAAATTGAAACCCTTCTTGACAAATATTTAAGTTTATTAATGGAATTAAACAGTGAATATAATGAAAATTTGTGTACTTACCCACCAATGAACCAAACATTTATTTTCCCATTTATGCTCTTCAGTTTTGTTCTTCTGTAAGCCCTGAAAGTCTGAATCATTCCTAATACCAAATTCATAATAGCTGAACAAGGAATCTATTAGAACATTATGTCAGGCAAATGTGTCTTAAAAATAAAAACATTATCCCACGACACCCTTAGATACTATTAAAAATAAAAATGAGAAATAGAAATAGAATTGGGATCGACAAATTATCAACTAATACTTAAAAATGAGAGAAAATATATATCTAACTAAATCTTGTAAATAAAGATAAAATATATACCTAATCAAATCCTAAGATAAAATATACTACCAGCCACTCACAGAAAAAAAAAATATTAACTGATTACAGATATGTAAGATATACTCCCTAACTAATTATTAAAATATATTCTCACACTAATTATTACATTTGTTTTTAAATTGTAACGTGGCTACTGGAAACCTGAATGCATGATTTCTGTCAATATTCCAACAAAATGTTTCAACAGAGCAATAATGCTCTCTCTCTCTCTCTATCTCTATCTCTCTAGCATGCATGAACAGGTCAAAGGCAAAAATAACACATGACACTTTCCCACGTGAGAATATTTCCTGGATTTACAATAATGCCCTGTATTTGCACGTGCAACAGGAGGCTATATTCGTACTACCATTTTCTTTTTCCTTCGTTTAGAACTTCCATGGAGATAATATCATATATAAAATATGACACAGGACTTATTGGGAGAAATATAGAATTCTCACTAACAAATAAACACAACTATATATATATATATATATTTCGACAGCTGATTCAGATGAACAAAAAAACAGGTTATTAGATTGGTAGTTACTCACACGTAAACTGTTGGAAGCTTCACAAAAAGGGAGGAAATGCCTGGTCAATCCAAAAACTTGTTCCAATCCACTTCCAGGCAGCCCCCATCAGATCCTCCAGCCAAAACCAGCTGAAATCATGAGTTCGGTACCTGCATCGAAGGCGTCGATGTGTGCTTTTCAAAAAAGAGATAAACCACCAAGTCTTTACTACTTTGTTGGTTACGAGTAACAATCTGTTAAAAAATGGACGGACACAAGATTAGTTAACCTCGTTGTATGATATGTATATAAAAGCAAGTCATGAAATCAGAACATTAGCAATAAATTTGAATTGTCATGACATGAGCAACTTCTGTATGCGTGCAGCTTACTGTGTTCTCTCTCTCTCTTTCCCCCTTTTTCCAGGTCCACGGAGAAGCAATTGTCTTATGTAACAGCCCACCGCTGGCAGATATCGTCCTCTTTGATCTTTTTCTCCTAGACTTCCCCTCAAAATTTTAAAACATGTTTGCTAGAGAGAGGTTTCCACACCCTTATAAGGAATGTTCTGTTTCCCTCTCCAACCGATGTGGAATCTCACACTAATAGGCCAAGAAAATCTACAATTCAGTATTAAACATGTAATTATTCAACTAGAATAAATTAGGATCAGTTGAAGCATCCAGCAATTGTTGCTCATTCAAGCATCAACAATTTAGCCATGAGGCTTTACCAATAGAGGCTCATAATAGATAATAATCAACATTTTTTCCTTGCCAATATTCTTCTGACATGCTTGATGCAGACTTATCTGTCATGTAAGAACGGCACATAACACTTGAAATGTAGTGGTTTCTCTTGTTTAATCATAAAGGCCAAAACTTACAATCCAAATGGCAAAGTTTATTCTGATCCAAACCAAAAACATCTCCTCCCACTAGGTCTTATATCGAGGTAGATAATTAACCTGACATATGTCAAGAGACACCCAAACAAGTTTCCATTGCAGCAATGCAATGTGTCTTCTCCTCACATTCCCAGATTGGAAACGTGACAAACCTGAGCTGAGCAGAAAGGGCAGCTCTCACTTTCTCCTTTTGCAGTTACAGGGAGAAGGCACACTCTAGAAATACTTAGAAACGTGGCTGTATTAACATATACCCAATTTCTTCCATACTAACTCTCTCTGTAACAGCCCAAACCCACCGGTTGGGGAGGAGAACGAAGCATCCTTTGTAAGAGCGTGGAAATCTCTCCCTAGTAGATGCGTTTTAGAAACCTTGAGGGAAAGCTCAAAGAGGACAATATCTGCTAGCGGAGGGCTTGGGCCGTTACACTCTCAGTTATTCTTAAATCAGGAGACCATAGGAATTCCCTCCTTCCATCTGCACAGACATGGATTCCCAGCAGGTTAAGCTCCCATGTAGAGGCATGAAATTTATTTTAACTACTAGGCCATTAGATGATAAAACGAAACGGATTGAACTAATGCATATTGGGGGTATCACGAATTCCTGTACAGAGTTCCAAAAAGACACCTTCATTCTCCTAAATACAAAATTTTCATCATTATTGCATCCCTGGGCTGTGGATAGTGAGTTTAAGTCACTTTAAATCTCTAATCTCCAATGTTCTATTTGATCCTTCAAGTTAACATAAATGACTCATTTGCTCGCAACCAATAAGTTCCTACAGTTCGACTTGACAAAAAGTTTACATGATAAAGTTTAACCTCAACAATCAAAGGTTTCATGGAAGCTTGAGACTCAAACCAAGATGATGTAAGTGTAAAATGGAAGACAATTTCTCCCGCTTCAAATAGAACACAAACTTAAACTTACCCTCAGAAAGCTCGGTGGTTCCATTCTTTGTTACGGCCTCATAAACACTGCCAAACTCAAAGTTTATGAGCAAGTGATGTCAAATTTTGATTCGATTTCATCCTAATAATCAATCATGTGAAGCGATTCTCTCCAAAAACTTTGATCTAAACAACTATTGCTCCTCTAATGCGAGCTCTATATAGCCAAGGAATGATCTGATCCACCTATTCGTATACTACAAGTATTACGCCGAAGAACATACTGCTCTTTCATCAGAAATATATCCGAATATGTGTTAATTCTAATCTAAAGAAATCGAGCAAACATAAGAAGATCCAAACCAAATGGGAAATCGTCTCAATCTAAGGTACCCTCAGTAAACAACGACGAGGACGACTAAAGCAGGAAAGAATAGAGAAAGTAATAAAAGGAGTTAGAAGCTAAGGACTCACCGGCTCCAGATGCTCGCCTGGCGCGCTTGATCTTTTGAATCTGAAGTTGCATCTCCATAAGTAGTTGCATTCTCTGATACTCTAAATCCTTCACGAATTGCATCCGTTGCATCTCCAATTCTATCATGTGCCTCTGTTTTGCTACCTCCACTCTCTCATATATATCAGTGATCGTCCCTATTGCCTCGGCCAGTTTTCTATAACCTGCCTCTCTGTCCTTGAACCTCGAACTCGAGAGCGAATTATCGGATTCCATACCATTTTTTCCTTCATTTTCATTCGAGATTACATCCCGGCGAAGGTACGAGTCGCAAAAACTCCTATAGACGTGAGTTGAACGACGCTTCTTAGTTCCGGATCGAGGGGCAACCGGGACCTTTGAGAACAGCGACAATCTTGGAGTCGTCACTGGCGCGGCTTTACAATTAGATATGGCAACCGGCGTGGAAGCCTTGTGGTTGTTGCCTATAAGATCGTCGAGGCACGAGAAGAACGGCCAAGCGCAGACGTACGAGCCACCGGATTCTTGAATTCTCGCCTTCTCGATTTTATACTTTCTCTTAAGCGTGTCGATGCGGTTTTTGCACTGAATAGCCGTACGAATGGACTTCCTCTCATGACCGTGACTGGAGTTGACAGCGTTGGCGATTTCTTGCCAGTGTTTGTGCTTAAGGCTGCCGCGGTTCAAGTCGATATGACGTTCACCCCAGGCCTGGATGAGAGTGGAAGTATCGTCCAAAGTCCAACAGTCTTCACGAACTGGAGCCGGCGACGGCAGTGACAGAGCCATGAGTAGGGAGGGGTTTGGAATGGGGTGTTGCCGACTTGGCCTTTGCATGCGGGAAGGAAGGCAGTGCAATGGGGAGAAAGGAAAGCGGTGAGGAGTGGTGGAAAGCGAACGTGTCCAAGAAATTCGTTTAGGCGGCACTTGGAGCCATTGGCGGGATCTCCCTTCCGCATGCTTATTGCTTTGTTTGGTTTTTGGGCCTCAGGCGCTCTGCAGTGAATGTTTGAACTGTACACCTTTTTTTTTTTTTACTACAATATTCCACTTCCTTTCCTTTCCTTTCGGAAAATTATTTAATCTTTTGCTA